GGTGGAGACAATCACACAATTTAACTTGCTTTGGGCAATATAGTGGGGTATAAAGGCTGGATCAAGCAAGGTAAGGTTCATACCAATTCTTAGATGGGCAGAGAAGAGAAACCATCATTGAGATAAAGCTAAAGTGTGAGAGGAGGTGAGTGTGTTTCGGTTGTTTTAACTAATAATGGACAAATAATACTGACGTGAATCCATTGATCTCTGTATAAATCATGACCAAAGCCACTAAGTGCACTGACAGAAAATTTAAGAAGCTCTTCTTATTGAACAACTATGACCATAGATGAAGACAGAAAAAGGATGGAGTTTATAATTATTTTATTTTTTTCATCTTATATTATTTATATCTGTCACTTTGAACTTTTTGTTTACTACAGGTTGCAGTTTATTATTTCAACAACAAGGAATACTATTTAATATTCAAATGCATGTTGTAGAAATACAGGTTACAGATTTGAATAGTACTTATTATTTAAATCAACTGAATCTTTGTACTGTCAGTTACGGCTTGTGTTTTAGTGGAACACTCCCAAAGAAGCTGTGAAGTGAAACACTGAATATCCATTAAAAACAAAAAACTCATTTGGTGTTAAAATAACTAATATTCTTATAGAGGTAGCAATGCCTTTCTTATTTCTCATTACATTTTGATAGATATAATCTGACTGTATAACCATTTCAAATTAATAGTAATTAATCTGTAATTAGCTTTTAAACTTATGAAACAGCTACATGTATGATGTTGAACTGTATGTCTTAAACCTTTTTATTTTTTTACACTATTACTAGGAACTCTATATAAAATCAACAAGTTAGCTAACACACAACAACCAAAATCTAGTTGAAATGGTTACAAGCTGCAGTTTTGACATACAGCATGAAATATTTAATATAGCTTTTGTAAAAATTCAAATAACAATATTATCCAAGAATCATAACATGGGTGATAGTCACAACAAAATAAATAGCTACAGTTTTGATTTATGTTAACTTGTTTTTTATTTTTTGTATTAACAAGCTTTTGATTGCTATACTGCAGCTGTCTACAGAAAACCTGAAGATGGCTCCAGTTTAGCATACAAAAGCTTGCTAATACAAAAATAAAGTAAAATTAAAGTGGAGTTAACATGTAGATACTTATTTAGCTGATACAAATAAGCATAGCTTCTATTAAGTAGTTTCATGTTAGCCTTACTAATTTTAATAAACTGATTCTGCATTAACCCTTACCCAAACTGGTGTAAAACCAGCTTAACCAGTTGGTGTTAGGAGACTTGTAAGAGATTTCTTTTTTTTTTTGTCAGTCTGTTAAATCATTGTATTCTGAGTAGTTATGGATACACTTTAAACTAAAATATTGGGTTAGACATGACAAAACTTCTTATATTTGAAAGTATAAAATATATCTTAACTTTTAGAAATCTGAAAAAAACAAATCTCCAAATTTCAAGTCTAAATAAATGCATGAGAAAACGAAACCTTTTTTTTTAAACAAAAACTTTATTTCCAAAATGACTA